AATGTTAGTGAGATCATATCTAACTGGTCTGTGTATTTTCCCTGATCTCTTTAGTTTTATTCTAAATTTATTTTAGTTTTATTCTATCTGCCACTAGAATCATAGAATCATAGAATCAAAGAGTTGGAAGAGACCTCATGGGCCATCCAGTCCAACCCCCTGTCAAGAAGCAGGAATATTGCATTCAAATCACCCCTGACAGATGGCCATCCAGCCTCTGTTTAAAAGCTTCCAAAGAAGGAGCCTCCACCACACTCCGGGGCAGAGAGTTCCACCGCTGAACGGCTCTCACAGGAAGTTCTTCCTCATGTTCAGATGGAATCTCCTTTCCTGTAGTTTGAAGCCATTGTTCTGCGTCCTAGTCTCCAAGGAAGCAGAAAACAAGCTTGCTCCCTCCTCCTCCCTGTGGCTTCCTCTCACATATTTATACATGGCTATCATATCTCCTCTCAGCCTTCTCTTCTTCAGGCTAAACATGCCCAGCTCCTTAAGCCGCTCCTCATAGGGCTTGTTCTCCAGACCCTTGATCATTTTAATCGCCCTCCTCTGGACACATTCCAGCTTGTCAATATCTCTCTTGAATTGTGGGGCCCAGAATTGGACACAATATTCCAGGTGTGGTCTAACCAAAGCGGAATAGAGCATGGGCAGCATTACTTCCCTAGATCTAGACATTAGGCTCCTATTGATGCAGGCCAAAATCCCATTGGCTTTTTTTGCCGCCACATCACATTGTTGGCTCATGTTTAACTTGTTGTCCACGAGGACTCCAAGATCTTTTTCACACGTACTGCTCTTGAGCCAGGCATCGCCCCCCATTCTGTATCTTTGCATTTCATTCTCCCTGCCAAAGTGGAGTCTCTTGCATTTGTCACTACAGCAGAAGTGGGTTGGACTAGATGTCCTTTGGGGGTCCCTTCCAACTACATGATTCTAGAATTCTTCAAAAGCCTGGGTGCAAACCCCATGCTGAAATGGTAAGCCATAATCTCACAAACCACAGGTATAAATGCCAGCCTTGCAAATGCGGCCGTACCACCCACGGCTCTCATCTGATTATGAGCAAATACCTCTTGTAACGCTTTCCTTAAGCAAACGGTGATGCACAGCCGCATGCATTGAAATTGCCAAGGCTTTCCCTTGCTCCGACCTCAATTTAAGCAGCAGGAATAGATCCACAATGCAAGGTAACCATATTACCAATCTCTGCGGAAATGATGGGATAAGGAGGGCGACGTAATGCAATCCAGCCTCGGAGTTTTGCAAAGGATCTGCCTCGTTCCCGACAACCTGATTATCAACATCTCCAAGCCTGTTTCCATTTCGCCCGTCTTATAACCAATATTTTAAAAAGAAGCCTTCATCAAATCCTAAGGAGAGTTTGCTTGACACCAAACACTGATTTCTAATCAGGGTTAACGTTGCGGCTGTAAATACGAGGCTCGTTTTAATTAAAGGAATAGAACTAGGGAAGGAAAAACACAGATTCGCCCAGCCTCCGTTTTGTTGCACTTGTGTGTGCCTTCGAGGCGTCTCCAACTTATTAATTCTATTTTAGTATTTGTATTGCTATGTATTTTAAATTATATTGTCATTCAAATGCGGTGCGCTGCTTTGCATCTTGACAGAGAGATAAAAGCAGGATATAAATAAATATGGAGGTGATGATGATGATGAGAATATGTGACTCAGCCAAGGAGTACATTCTATACAGTTTGACACCACTCGAACTGCCATGACTCAATCCATATGCATTCTCCATATACGTGAATCTTGGAAAAATACAATAACAGAATCATAGAATCCTAGAGTTGGAAGAGGCCTCCTGGGCCATCCAGTCCAACCCCATTCTGCCAAGAAGCAGGAAAATTGCACTCAAAGCACCCCCGACACATGGCCATCCAGCCTCTGCTTAAAAGCCTCAAAAGAAGGAGCCTCCACCACACTCCACAGCAGAGAGTTCCACAGAGGTCCAGAGGGTTTGGCACCCGATTCCACCTTAAATGAGGTCTGGGCACCACAATTGAAGGGAGATGTTGACAAGCTGGAAGGTGTCCAAAGGAGGGTGAGTCAAATTATCAAGGGTCCGAGAACAAGCCCTATGAGGACTGGGTTCAAGAGCTGGGAATGACTCAGGGGCGACTCGTCCATTACGCGAAGTAAGCGGTCGCAGAACACTTTTTTTTTTGCCAGGGGCACAGAGATGCCTCTGTAAATGCCCCTCGAGCGCCACTTGAGGAGCGCCCCCTCAGCTCACAACAGCCCTAGCAGTCCGGG